TTAGCAGGACCCTCCTGAATAATGGGACTAGCAGGACCCTCTTGGATAATGGGACTAGCAGGACCCTCCTGAATAATGGGATTAGATTACTTTCTCATATGATTAGCACTTTCTAGTCTAGATTTTTAGTTTTATTTTCTCCTGAAATAAACACTTCCTAGCCGAAGTTTATGTTTTATATTTATATTTGCTAATAACTCACAAAAAAATTTCCCAGTGAAAACTGGGGCAAAATTTATTTTTATTTTTTTGTTTGATGTGGTGGTTCTCAGGTTTTCTCAAGCGAGACCGGGATTTGAAATTTAAGAACGAAGTTTCAAATTTTTTAGAATAATCAATTCCATGATGGTTAGAATTAGCTTCTTCAATGCATGTAGCAGCCTGACTTCAACACATCTTTTACTAGTCAACTTTTGATCAAGAAAACACGCATTTATTCAAGAGCATTTTTCAAGTTGTCATTTTGAAGAATGTCAAAAGTACCTTCTAAGTGGCAAGTTCAGCCTCCATTTCAATTCTAAGTTAAGATATTCACTAAAAAATCAAGATGATATCTTAAAGTCAAAATTCAAGTGAAGATTCAAGAAAAGTTGTGTGGATGGAAGTTTGTACATTTGTTTTTCTTTTGACTAATAGCTTTCAATTTTTATGTAAGGATAAGAGCCGCGATTTAGAGCCTCGATGGAACCTCACTTAACTTCCAACTCATCACTTTATCTCCTCGAACTACAAATGGCCTGATTCCCTTATCACCCGGGATATGTAGGATGTCCAAACAAGGACTCGGTCGCACAAATTTTGGTCTTTCAAATTAAAGTTCGATCAAAACTTGTCACTTTGTCTACTTCTTTGTCTGAAAAACTCTTCGTGTTTTCAGTCAAAGAGGGGCAAACTGTAGACACGTAATTTTGACCGAATTTAAATTTAACACCAATTTTTAAAGCATAAATAATTTTATCAATTTAAATTAAATATATTTTGACTTTTTTATTATTATTTTCATTAAGTTTATTTAAAAGATATAAAAATAAACAACATAAATATAATTTTTATTAGATAAGTTTGTATTGATTGTTAATATATATATATATATATATGTATATATATATATATATATATGTATATATATATATATATATATATAGTATATATATATATATAT